CCTCATTTCGACATATGAATCCACTTCCTTCAGACGATGTGCGAAAGCATCGATCCATCGACTGTCCATGAGTCGAGTGTGCGGCATCTCCGTTGGATCTGGGAGCACGTGTGTCTGAAAAGAGGAAATCGGCGCTGCCGGCTCTAGAGAGAATTCCTGGGCCAACAGGAAGCTTCCATGATCCAGGCTCTCTTGCTCCAACTGCGCCAGGGCAAGGCAGCAGCGAGCTCGAGCTTGGTCCGTGTGGCCACTCCGCAAAGCATCGAGCACACCGCTGATTGCCCAGGTAGCTCGAACACTTCTTGGGTAACCCAAAATTTTTGAACGGTGCTCTGCCCAGCCCCGTGCGGTGAACGAAACACCATGGACATTCGGCTGAGCTGTTTGCAGGTTGAACTCGTTGGCCATGTTGGATTCGATCGTCTCCCAGATCTTCTTGGGGTTCTCCCTGAAAGTCTTCTGCAGAGCAGCGATTAGGGCGGCGTGCTTCCTTGAAAGACCTGCCGATTGGTCCAGCGAGCCAGATCCGCCAAACTGTCCAGCGCATCGTCGAGGCCATCCCCCTTCTTGGTGAGCTTTCCCACTATCTGCGTCAGTTTCACCAAAGCCTCTGCTACAGGATCCAATTTTGGCGCTCTGGCCTCCGTGGGCCCATCCTGCATTTCTTCGTCGGAGTCTTCCACACATTCTGCCAAAGGAGCATCGCCCAACTTCACCGGCTTGCTTGCCATCATCTGGCTCATGACCTGTAGATGGGCAGCAGGCACTCCTGCTTTTAGAGCTGAAGCCACCGTCCCTGGATCGAGTCCTGGGAAACTCTGGACATGAGAAAGGCCTGGCGGAGGAGCCACCGCATTTGGCTGAGCAGCTTTGGCCTGAGAGCTTGTCGCTTTGGAGCGAGGAGGCGTAGTCACTGGGGCGTCTTGAGCGGTGACATACCCAGACTCTTCTCCACGTTCGTGCAACGCGATCAGCCGGTCTAGGCTTCCCTTCAAACTGTCGAACTTGTTCTCTAAAGCCACCAACCGACCAAGCGGCACATCCTCCTCCTCCTCTTCGTCGCCCGCAACTTGAAACTTGTCCCGGGCTGCCAACTCTAGGCTCTCCGCAAACGGAAGGCATGGTTGACCGGTGTCCCGATCGACAAATCCAATCTTTGCACTGCCCTCCTCCTCAAATGAAATGCACTCCTCCAGATCCTTTGCCAACCAAGCCACCCAGCTATTCACTATGGTGCCCCCAATTGCGCGGACTCTGTCTTCTGCAGCACACCCAGGAACAGCCTCCTTAACTGGCTTGGTGAGCGCTCCAGGCCTGAGCTTCCTCTTGTCAGCTTTGCGGTCCCAAGCCAGGCTGGGAAGGCAAACAAGCAGTCCTTTCTCCCTTACTGCCAAAATGGCAATGTCAAAGGTCTCTCTGCTTTCTAACTGTGGGTCAAGACAGCCAACACGAAAGGCGAGTGAAATACCGTCAGCTCCCAAGACTGCCTCCCTCTTGAAAACTTCAAGAAGAGGCTCCTCCTCATCCATAGTCACGGGCGCGCTGGCCACAAAGATCCGCCCTTGCCACTGGCCTAAGGAAGCCCGTGGGGGCACTGCGACCTTGTCCAGTTCCTACACTGTAATGCAGGCAGTGGTAGCAACGTCTTCACCCAAGGACTTTGTAAAGTCGCCCTTCGAAGCCAAATCCAGCTATGCGAGCTTTCAATGACAAAGTCGCCCACTGCTTAGTGAGTACCAGAAGTTCGATCACAGGCCAAAGCAATAACCCGACACCCACACCAATCCAGAAAGTACTGGTAGAAGGGATTTCCGGGCAAACAGGGCAATCGAAATACAAGGGGTTTTCACGAGCCACGCCAGGAGCAATGAAGTCTTTAAGAATCCAAAGCAAACTCGAGGACAGCGAGCCGGTAGCTGCTGATATCGCAAAGGGGTGCCTATCCATCCAAGCTTGACTCCTGAAAACTGCATCCATGTCCAAAGCACATTCAAAGCATATATCAGTAGATAGACGGATAGAAGCATAGGCAGGTAGGTAGGTAGATAGATAAATGGTGAGACGGATAGGTGAGATGAAGTTCGATGACTGGGCAAGGAGACTTACACAGCAAACTAGGAAACGGGAATTGGGCACCTCGCCTTTTTCCACGCGATGCCTGCGCAGGGCTTTTGGCGGTCTGTTCATGTAAGCCTCATGCTGCCACGCCACATGCGCGCGCACCACTGCTTAGCCCGTCTGCCGCTGTCCCTTGCTGCCAGAGGTGCTTCTCGAGAAGGCAGTCTGCGTGAGATGCAGTTCAAGGAAAATAGCCAGATCGCGAAGGGAAAGCTTCGTTCTCCAATCCTGCCAAGGCAGAGTTCTCCACCGCCGCCGCAAGCTGCCTTCCTCTCACTGCGTGAGGATGTTGAACAGCGCCCGTGCATGCACCTTTGCGCGTTTCAAAAGCGCGCCTATCTCCAGCTCTGCTGCTGCAATTCAGCCCTCAACCAACGTGCAGTTCTGGTAGTCCCTGCTACTGAGGTTCATGTCTGGAAAAGGTCTCGACCTCGCGTAGGCCTTGTCCTCGTGCTGGGCTTGGAGCGCCGGCGTTCATGGATGCCCCGCCTGAGAGGTCTTCGCTTCTTCGGAGTCTGGGAGGGCTGGCCCGCCTCTTGAGACCTGTCTGCTCGCCTCTTTGGGTCTTAAGGCTCCAGCTTCCTTAACATGTGGCGAGCGCGCTGCTCATGTTCGAACCACTTCAGGGATGAATACTCCTCGCTGCACCTTGTATGTGCTGGATGAGCATCCCTTGCTGCATAGAAAAGAATAATAATAGTAATGACGATTGGAGAAGGCAAAACACAATTGGAATGAAAGTAGCTAGACTAGAATAGACAAATTAAAACAGGATAGACAAATAGACAGGACAAGTAGACACATATCTACATCAAATAGAAACACCAAAATGGAAACATAGATACTTTGCCACATAGACACATAGGCACACAGACACATAGACACATGGACATACAAATACATAAATACATAGACTCATAGATGCGTAGATATGTAGGTACATAGGTGACATAGATACATAGATACATAAATACACAGATATATTGATGCATTGATGCATTGATGCACAAATACATATGCATAGATACATGCATGACATTGCATTGCAATGCAATACAATACAACGCAAACAACACACCACACTTACATTATGCATTGCATTGCATTAAATCACAACACATTAAATGACATTGCTGCATCATATTAACCAGCATGGCATTGCATTCCGCTGCGTTACGGTACATTACATTACCGTTCAAACACACATAACACGCATGCGTTACGTTACATTGCAGTACATACCTTGCATACGGTACATACGTTATATACATGCATTGCACGCATTACGTACAGTGCATACATTGCACAATGGCATACAACCCCATTACGTTACTATACATTACATTACATTACATTACATTACATTACATTACATTACATTACATTACATGACGTGACATTACACTGCACCGTGCGTTACGTGAAATCTCATTACATGCAAACATGACATACATACGGATACATACATGCACATCAGTGAGGTTCGGCAAGTTGTGTGGACATCCACACTCAATGCGTGCCTGCACAAATTCATGTGAAGGTTCCAAAATACAAAGCAGCCACGCAAATCTACACAGGTCCCTGCATGCTTCCGGAGTTCTGCCATCTACCTGAAGCCAAAGCAAGTGACCAAGAATCATGAACAGCATGCGCTGCACTTCTGGAACGAGACAGGGGCCTGAGTCTTTCAATGAGGCGAAAAGTCTCTGGGGAAAGCTTTCGGGCAGCTTGTGGCAAGCCAAGTCAAAACTTGCGGAAATGAAAAGGGCTTCACTGCTGGCGCGATAGGCAGGAAATGACCGATTCAGGGTTTTGGAAATGAACCTGAAGATTCCAGCAAGGAAAACCTGAAAAAGGGTCATTCGCTCATTCCCTGCTGAGAACCAGCAAGTTAAACATAAATTGTCCATCCGAGCTGCAGGAAGCTCATCACTTTCGCTCATAGACCCATAGGCTTGCTGACCCGATTCAGCGTCTCCTGGCGGAGCATGTCTCACCCAAGACAGTTCAAAAGAGCACGGACGACCAGCAGAGCCGTCAGTTCCCGGCTCAAATTCAGCGCCTGCTGCTGCTGCTGCTGCTGCTGCCGCCGCCGGCGGCGACAGCGCAGCTGCTGCTGCTGTCTGTTCAACCGCTCTAGTCTTAGCCTTTGGGTGAAAGTTGACCTCAGGCAGGCCAAAGATCGCAATTCGGAGGAAAGCCAGACATTCTAGCACCAGCCTGGCTGGCAGCCGGAACCAGCCAGCAGCTTCACAAACTCTGTTGTAGGTTGCGCACCAGCTATGGCAATCTCTAGCAGCCCTCCCCCCTTCTCAGCTGGCAGGCTCCTGATTCTGGCTCTGCTGTCACGTCACGCCATGGGCAAGTGGGATTACGCGTTGCAGTCTGAGGAGCCCTTTGTCCCTTTCCAGTCCCTTTACCAATTTGTCTTTTCCAATGTGTCTTCCATGTGGGCTCCATGTGGCTAGTCATGTGCCTGACTCACTCGGCGCGGCCAAAGGCAGGCCATCTCTCGAGCACATCCAAGCGCAGGTCACCCCGCTTCAAACCCTTGGCTCTTCCTTGCTACCTTGCTTCCCTGCTTGCCTGCTTCTTTGTGCCTTGCTTCCTTCCGTGCCTGGGTAGTGCCATATTGAGGTTTCGAACATCTCAGGCAAAAAACAAAGGAGGATGGAACGATGAACCTAGCACTTTGTCTTAATGTTGACCCCTTTTTTAGTCAGCCGGCTTTGTGGGAATCATCACTTCGGGGAACACCCCCCTATGAATAAACTGGGATTGTTTCTTTTAAGCCCCCTAAAATAGCGATTTCCGCTCGTTTCCCGTACATCAGAAAAAGACCAATCCACCTGAGAGCTGAGTGCCAGCCATGCGCTTCCCGCCTGCGGAGGCAAGGGCACCTGAAGCGCAGGAGCCCCCAGCACTGCGCCTGCACCAAGAGCTTTCAGATGCTGCGCCAAAAGAATGTCTCTATCTGCAGAGACAGGTAACTCAAAATTTGCGCTGCGAGCCTGGAAGCTCAAATTCCCCTTAGGACCGGCCAAAAACCGTAGAAACCGGCCCACTAAAGTTCAGATTGTCAAGCTGATACCTTGCCAATGGAGCTATCGCGGCTTCTGCAGGCACTGCGAAGTATTTCCAAGGGTAGCTGACTTCTTGAAGCCATGAATGTCTACACTCAAATCCCCCCCTACAAGCCGATCAAATCACTCATAGATGCCGGTCAACTTCCCATCCACGCCAGTCAAATCCCCTCTCCACCGGTCCAACTCCAGTCCCCTCCCACCGGTTTCTGGGTCCAACTCCGGCCAAATCCCCTTTAAAACTGGTGGCAAATCAAGTCCTTTAGAAATCTGTCAAAGCCCTCTAAAAACAGGTCCAACTCCCCCAGAAACCGGCAAAATTCCCCCTCAGAAATCAATCAAATGTCCTCGAGATGCGCGCCCGCGCTTGGCCCACGCCCGCTGCCATTCTGTAGCTCTACAGCTCTCGTTCTGGCCCTTGAAGCCAGGTGGAAACACGCGGACATGCACCCACCCTCTACCTTGGAAACCAGCTCACGCATTTTGGCGTCGACTCACTCACTGGTATATACCTCTAAGCCAGCCAAAAGCGGACTGGCCGGGCGGGCAACGCGAAGCGTTTACACTTCCGTACACATGATGCATATCGGGACTCTATTTACTTTGGGCCGAGCTAGCCAAAATCGCTGGGGCTGTAGCGGGGTCCACTACGAGAGGGATGCACGGGATTTCCTCAACGAACCCATCATGGGAGAATGGGAAGGGGACCTGCACTTGGGGCAAAAAATGTGAAAAGAAACGTCGTCCTTCAGATTCACCTTCTTGCCGGCTTCCATCAGCTCACCGTGTCGAAAGGTGGCTTTGTTTGAAGCTGACATTGCTGGTCGGAATGCTCCTGGGCACATTCGTGGTGCTGAAATGCCAGTCTGCAGTCTGCTTCTAGCCCGGTGCATGTACTTTGATGCGGTTTGGCTACCTTGGTGATCTGATATAATATAAACCCTGGCGTGGGGCTTACGCCACAAACTCATTCCCTGATTAAGAGGGGCTCCGAGGCTGCACAGCCCAACGGACCCCTCTGCAAGAAGTTTAACTTCTTGTGGGTTCAAAGAGTTCAAAGGAAAACCCATGGTTTCCCAAAAAGTTAAAGTCAGATCCAAGCAAATAGCAATCTAGTTCCGACTACCGCGTTCTCACACACATGTCTTACGCGCTTGGAAGGCTCCTGCCTCGGAAGATCTTGCGCAAGTGCTGGTGCTGCTGCAGCCGCAGTCCCACGAAGGTGCCAATCCTAGATGCGCTAAGCAAGCGGATGCAAAGTTCATCAAGTCGGATCATTCCCTGCCACGTTGCGGTCGTGCGCAAGTGGCGCTCTTTGCTTCACTAGTCCAGGGATGATATGTCAGCAAGCCCCGTGATCGGACATGGTGATTTGCACACTTCCAGAAACCGAGAAAACAGCTAAACACTGGGCCGAAGATATTGCAGGCTCTCTGATGCTGATGGTAAATGGGTATCTTGGCAGGCAGCCTACGCACACGCCGTGCTAGTCCCCATGGCACGAGAAGTGCTCACCTACACTTGGTGTCAAATCCCAACTTTCAAGATGGAGCTAGCGCAAAACCTTACTCCCCGAGACGCTTTCCATGTTGTGGTTGAATCTTCCACCAGGAAGGTGAAAATCCACGTTTCCTGCTAGTCCGTTGAGGGTAGGTTCAGGCCTGGCATCGTTTTAACATCCTCAGCATCATTCTCAACATCCTCAGCATCACCAGGCTTTGGTTTAGGTTGGGTTTAGGGTGGGTTCCATATTGGCTCGGGCTTGGCTCCGGGTGGGTTCCAGGCCTATTGAGAGCAATTTGTTTGGGGTGGCTGTGCTTGAGGCAGAAGTGCTGGTTTCTGGTGGGGCTTCTTGGGGTTGGTCTCGGGTGAAATCGGCTTCGGCCATGGTTGGGTTCGAACACAACCATTGCCGTTCGAACACAACCATTGCCAAAGCCAATTTTAAACCCACCCTAAACCAGCCCTAAACCCACCCGAGACCAACCCCAAGAAGCCCCGCCAGAAACCAACACTAAACCATCTACCTCAAGCACAGCCACCCCCAAAAATAATTGCTCTCAATGGGCCTGGAACCCACCCGGAGCCAAGCCCGAGCCAATATGGAACCCACCCTAAACCCAACCTAAACCAAAGCCTGGTGATGCTGAGGATGTTGAAAATGATGCTGAGGATGTTAAAACGATGCCGGGCCTGAACCTACCCTAAACGGACTACCCCAAACCTACCCTAAACCTACCCTGAACCCATAATCAGCACCAAGCATCTCGGCCACCGGCGTCATCATGTTGATTCCCAGCCCCCAGCCCCCCCCACAAAATCACGCTGGGCAACTGCTGAATCAGAGCAGCGCGACGAAGGGGCGCTCCCCCGTCTACCCAACATGTTGTCTTCTGTGCGACTGGAAGTCTTGGTCGAGAGTCTCTTTTGGCATCACCCACCAGCGTATCTTTCTTCTGAACCTCAAAGTCTGCAAATCCCATGTGACTCTGTGGATCCCCTTTTGCCCTGTCAAAATCACCAAGGAACAGCATCCCACAAAACCAAAGTCTGACGGTGCCAGCCTCTTTCCAGCCGCAACGTGAACCCATCCGCAACGTTTGCGATCACGGCTTTTCATGTCGAGTCTCATGCCGCCCAAGCTGAGGCCGTGGATAAACAGCGGGAGGCGCCGCAATTGCATCAAGACCTGCGAAAAGAAAATCCCTGTCCCAACTTCCGGTGGCCAATTGAATGAGTCTAAAGTGCTTATTTTCTCAAAATGTCCTTTGGTGCAAGCTGGAACCCGTTTAGAACCCAAATGGCAAAACTCTTGGGAACATGTCATTCAACATTGTCCGGGTTTTTCATCATGGCGGATTGCCTCTCAAATGGTGATTTGTCTCAGGACAACCAGAACATAGAACATGGTGTTTTCGTGCTGCAGTGGAGCTTTCTAGCGAAACATGTGTTGTTCATTCCTTGCAAGACTCTTTCTCCTGGAAATGAAACAAACCATTGTGTAGAGGACAAGCGTTGACCAAATGTGGTTATTCTATGTGCTATCATCTGCTTGACCAAACCTGACTTGTGGAAACCAAATACTAGGCCTTGAACAAGGGTTATTGGGGCCCGACCCCTGATTAAATCAGGCATTGTGGGAAGCTCAGCCCCTAAAAGAAGCTACGGCTCAAAGAACTCCCACTAGCACAGTTAGCTAATTGGTGATAGATTCTACAGGGTGAAAATAATAGTGATGCTATGTTGAACGATGGATTTAACAAGATCAACTCCGAGTGGCAGTTCTCAGCAACTTGCGTAGTGGACTCACCACTAGGTGGGAGTCGTCCTTCCCACCTCGGGCGGCACTCCGGCGTTGAAGTCCTCGGAACACGTCGACGGTCAAAGTCCGGCGATTCAAAAGTTCCCAAGATCAGCTGGGAGGTAACCTGAGACTTTTGGGGGTCCTGGGTCCGACAATTTCCCTTCTAAAGGAACCCCCGGTTAGGTTCCATGTTTATTGGTGGGAGGGTAATCTGCAGGGAATTTGGAGCCCGGCTTGATTGCACGATGATACCAGGTGTCACGAGATACCATCTTCATTGGGCTCTATGGCTCTTTCAAGTGCACCGCAAATGCCCTGAGGGCTGTGCGCTCTCTGGCCGCTCGCCTCCAACATTGAACAGAGCCTCCGCCGTCCGTTCGACTTGTCGGAAGTTGATGTCAAAGCTTGCAGTGAAGTGTAAGCCATGAGGCAAACATCAGGGAAACGCTTCTGGATGTCATCCCAAAATCTTGCAAGTGGAATCTCTGGATCAAAGCAACACGCGTCAGAATGTGGCCGCTCTGGCATCACATGGGCCCGGACACCTGTGAATGGGACACGAATGAGCCGGCGTGAGGACTCAGTAAGATTCTAATGCTGAATGCAATACTTCGATACTGCCAGTTTGGTAGCTTCTTGGCAAGTAGACACGTGCGCACAGCGCATTCTCCCGCAGAGTTTCCTTCCGCTGCCATGAAAGAATTGGCGAGCGGCCCGCATGAAATCACATTCTCGTCTGGGAAATGTTCAACGGTGCTCTCCCAGAATCTAAGCTGCCGAAAGAGAACATGAGGCTCGATCTCAAGAAATTATAATTTTCCTTACGGCAGGAAGGTCAGAATGGGTGCTATTGCGCGTGCTTTTGGAACAACCTGCGCATCTTAAAGCCGGGCGCGGATAACCCTGGTGAAGGGGCTAATCTCCCTCAGTGGCATGCTCAAGGAAAAAAAAAGAACCAACAATCGAGTTCCTTCTTTGTCCCTCTCTCTCGCTCCCTCTCCCATCTCTCACTGCAAGGGCTTTCCAGATTTTGGACACCTACTACACGTACACAAATGCATACATGAGCTGCGGCAGTTTTTGCGCAGCAATGTTGCATGGTCGGGTACCTCGTTCTGGGCGTTGCGCCTCTAATTCAGAATGTTATGCAAAAACTGTGTCCGCCCGGCCTCCACCGTAGTCCTCTAAAATAAAGGCCGAAAGCATTGCGAAGGGTTCTTCCCGGCCGAACCCTCCGGCCAACTTGCACAAAGCAACTTGCACAGAGCAATTTGCACACGGGCTGAGCGTTTGTTTTGAAGCGGCTTGAGTGGCAGGAAGAGGCGTATAAAACAGCGCAAATGTGCGAAAGCTGTTTTGCGAACGCGCGGCGAAACGCTTCCCAAGCAAAACGGGAGCGTGCTCAACAGCAAAAAACAGTTCTCCGGGCATGTTCTGCGGGGTGTGGGTTGCGTGCGAATGAAACATCCTGGCGGGGGGCCGTGCTGAACGATTCCCCCAAAACATTGGGATAAATGTTTTCGGACCAGTCGTCATCTAGTTGGTTTCCTTTGAGCGCTTGTCTGTTTCGAGGCCCCAGCCAGGCAAGGACTGGTTGGGCGAACGTGCCAGAAATTGCTTGGCCGCAATTTCAGAGCAACGGCTGTTTGCCTAACAAAGGACGAAGCAATCGTCGCCTTCCTGCCAAGAACCCATGAACCCGTCCGAACTGAAACTTCCGGAAAGCGCAAGAATCAGCCCCGGCCTCGCTAAAGGCCTCCAAATCCTTGAAGACCCCGTGCCAGTCCTGCTGCGCGCACACGAAGTACCCAGATTGCAAAACCGTTGCTGTTGTTGCTGTTGCTGTCGTTGTTGTGTTTAGTGGTGGCGGTGGTGGTGGCGGTGGTGGCGGTGGTGGTGGTGATGGTTCTTGTTGCTGCTGCTAACGCTGCTAACGCTGCTGTTGCCGCTGTTGCTATTGCTGCTGTTGCCGCTGTTGCTACTGTTGCGTTCCCACTGTTGCTATTGTTGCTGTTGTTCCTGTTGTTGCTGCTGTCGCTTGTCGTTGCCGCTGTTGCGAATGTTGCTGTTGTTGCTGTTGTTGCTGTTCATGATGTTGCTGTTGCTGCTGCTGTTGTTGCGGTTCTTGCTGCTTTTGCTGCTGCTTATTATGTTACTGCACAACGTTGCTGCTGCTGTTCTTGCTGCTGCTTGCGCGGCTGTTGCGCTTGTTGTTGTTGCTGCTGCTGCTGGTGTTGCTGTTGTTGTTGTTCCTGCTGCTGCTGCTGCTGCTGTTCTGTTGTTGTTGTTGTTGTTGTTGTTGTTGTTGTTGTTGTTGTTGTTGTTGTTGTTGTTGTTGTTGCGGTGGTGGTTGTTGTGGTGGTTGTGGTGGTTGTGGTTGTTGTGGTTGTTGCGGTTGTTGCGGTTGTTGCGGTTGTTGTTGTTGTGGTTGTGGTTGTGGTTGTGGTTGCGGTTGCGGTTGCGGTTGTGGTTGTGGTTGCGGTTGTGGTTGCGGTTGCGGTTGTGGTTGTGGTTGCGGTTGCGGCTGTGGTTGTGGTTGC